GAACCATATTTATGTTGTGTCAAATTTCTTCTTCATCGGTGAGGAGATTGTCCAGCATTCACTGTGATATACGACGAACATAGATTATTCAGTATTTTTTTTCTTTCTTTCTAACGATTTTATTTCTGTTTCTCAATGTTCTGGAAGATATTTTTCGCTATTTTAATCCGTCTTCGGATTTCAGTGTCACACATTCTGTCATCTGTTAAAACACTTCCCAGTTATTTATATTGTTGTACTATTTGATTTTGGCATGTTTTCTGAATTCATTTTCTCTCCGTATGCAGGTGCTTTGCTGCTAGTAGTTGATTCTGGATTATACTACCCAAAGTTGTCAAGGATACTCTTATGGTCCAGGTAAGGACCAAGGAAGAACAACATGAACACAAGAGTAGAAATAAGGATAGGTATATTACCCGAAATAATAATACAAGATGTGGAAGGTGTTAGTATGACTGTCAGTCTGGTTTGGAGTGAACTACTATCGGCTCAACTCGATTCGGTATCTAGCCACCCTCCCATGTGTCACAAGACCGAGTTTTACGTGGGTTTCCCGAGCCTGTAGGTTAGGCCAAAATATGCCCGTAGAAACTGTAAAAACAGAATCGGGTTGGTCAACTCCCCCGAACGGGACATTGCCCTTCGGCGGAGCCTCGTCCGGGTTCCTCTCTGCTCAGAGGCAGAGAGTTCGACCGTCAAGCCGAGAAGCTCGGCTCGATTCGTCCCTCTCTATTGAGAGGCTTAGTATACATAGTGTTAGAAACAGTTCATTCTGTAGTTATAGGTAAGGACCCATGCCAGATATCTAGGAGAAAAATGTTCTTAAATTGTACTGAATGAACTACCTTGAAACTTCATCATTTAATTGAACATGTGTTGGCTTCCATTGCTATGTGTCACCTCACGAAAGACAAAGAAACTTGAATCACTTTTGACATTACGATGCAAACATAGATTTGATAAAAATGCCAGGTTTTATTTTACATATATAATAGGTTTAAAAAAGGGTACTTCAACGTTGTGTAATGGTTAACACGCTTGTTGTGCGAGGTGAGTTAAAACTAGATGCTCCATACATTTGGCCTTGTACCACATCTAAACTACACTTCAAAAATCCATATAATAGATTCGAGAGGGAGTCTTGTTTTGTACTAGAATTAATTTCCAACTTATTTGGGAATATCTCAATTTTTTATTGATAATTGCAAGATGCAGGAAAGATATGGCTGTAGAATGTTTTGCAACAGGGGTCAGTGTATTCAGTATTGTTGATATTATCTGTAAAAATCTTTGTCGAGATTTACAACCACTACGTTTCGTTCAATTTCGCAAACCAATCGATGGTATTTGAATAAACTGATTTGTTTGCGAAAATTCTTTGACAAAATCCCTACTTCGCGGTTTAATACTTTCTCTAATTTAATTTCATTTTATAGGACGTCATGGTAAAGAATATGTTTTAAGAAAATTTCTTTTTTAATTTCCTATTTAAAAGCGAAGAAAAGATTCTTAGGATTTCTTACTCTTGAGCATGCAGTCAACTTGAGCTTGCAGACAACTGTCCATGTGTAAATATTTCTTTCTGGGACCAAATTCCAACGTTTTGAAACGTTTGGCCTTGTCATCTGTTTATAGTTCTCGCAAACACAGGGCGAACTGAAAAATGGATTCTTTTATAGAAAAACTTAAAGATATACAAAAAACAATATTGTATTTTTATTATATAAGTATTTGTTATTCTAATCATTGAATTATATTTTTAAAATAGTAGGAATATTTTTGGATCTTAAATAATAAATCTTTTAATTTAAAAAAAATGCCTTCTTATATGTCTGCACTTCTCTCCAAAATTTGGTTACGATCTGTCAATATATAGTTGTATTAGATAATGTGACAGACGGACTAACGGAAGACACAGAATTTTATATATAGAGATAGATTATTCATTTCAAATTAGTTATTCGTTCATTTATTCTCAGCTAATTGTTACTGAAGACTTTTATTGAACCACAGTCAAATATTATTGATTCCAAGCTGGAGTTTCGTTCATCTTAATTTCACTTGATTCTTATCGCAGACTATATAGTTAAGCAAGCCGTGGGGATCAGAAAAAAGGCCTTCAAGAAGAGTTTAACCTGCAAATCTTGCGTTTGAACACGCATAAAATAATAAAATTAACAAAAGAAAAAGAAACGAACTTCGGTTTTATTTCCGCTTTATCCTGAAAATAATTTCAAATAATGTCACCCAGTAGTGAATATTTAGTAAGAGTTTACTGTATTATATATATTCAAAAGTATCTGAGCATTCGAATATAAAAAAAAAGAATATTCAAAAAAAGAGGGGAAGAAATGCCAATGTATAAAAAATAGTCTGTCCAAAAAGCATATTTTGGATCGAAAATAAAAGACAATACTTATATTTTCTCAATCATATAAGTATGTACCATTTTGAGCAATTTTCTTCTATTTGGAGATTTTTAATATAATACAAAGAAGAATCTGCAATGTTATTGCTCCTGACCTAACATCTCGGATTCAGTCACTTTCCCACCGTCGTAAAGTAACTTCCATCGGCCTTTTCTATAAATATTTCCATGGTATTTTTTTCTGATGAGATCTCCTATTTGGTAACTGACTTTATGAATTTGAGCGCAGTACTAGATTGGCAGCTAGGTCTCATAACTTTAGAGTTGAAATGGCAAAATGTAACCGTAAGTTCTATGTTAACATGATTTTTTTTTATTTCACATTTCACTTTTTTGAACTCTCTTCTGGTTTCTTGTTTTCCAGTCAACTTTGGTCTTCGAAAATTTTAATGCAATTCTGCTATTTGTTTTTTTACTGAAACGTCTAAAAGAAATGTTGCACTTAAAACTCATTAAAAAGGTCAATCAAAACAGTTGCTTCATAGTTTGTTTCTTTCTCTCTCTGTTTAAAAAATGTCATTGTAGTAAAGGTAGTCATATTTGTCTCCGCACGGAACTACTCGAAAAAAAAGAAAAAAGAAAAGAAATGGTTGCACTTCACATATGGACAGTAGTCGAATTGCATTGAATAAAACTGCACTACATGATTAAACGCCAATGTTCTTTTCTTTAGAATTATTGGATTTTATTATGAATAGAATCTTCGTATTCACAATATTTGGATTCTTTATATTGTGACATAACGAGTAAAAAAAAAAAAAAAATGTATTTGATGCTAGTTGCCTCCCTTTGATAATATTTGAAGATTTGTAATCTGTTTGCGTGTTGAAAACGAAAGTCAATAGCTTAATTCTGATGAATTCTGTAATTTTTCAAGAGTAGTTAAAATAATTAAAAGTAAAGACGTATTTAGAAATATTCGAAACATTTCTATTAGAAGTTTATGCAGTGTTAGTATCAGACTTCCGTTGCATTTTTATTTTTTTTAAGAAAATCCTGAAACCAGGAATATTAAAATAGAAACAGCACGAAAACAAGCGAGGCATAAAAACAAAAAAAGATTGAAAGAAATAAAAAAAATATATATATATACTCAGCCATTTTGGATGAATCTGTAAAGTAGGGGAGAGGGGAGATAGAGATAAAACATCTGAAATAGAATAAAGTGAGAAAGTAAAAAGAAGACACGTAAAAAAAGGAGAGAAAAAAAAATCTTTCAGAAAAATGACGAAATAAGGGTTGCTCCGAAAGTAATGCACACAGTACAAATAAGTTAGACCACTAGGTCAGAGGATAATTTTGGTGATATTGCAATAGAAATCGAGGTTAATTTGCAGTGTAACACCCGCGCTCTGTGCCCATTAAAAATTTTCAAAACACTTAAATTTATACTATTTACATTATTCGGACTATTGTCCTTATCTTTGTCGCCATATTTATCACAACGTTTCCGTCGTTGTACGCTCCGGCCTTCTTCTGGTGGTTGGAATGTTGAACTGAACCCTTGATTTCACTCTCTGGGGTGGACTGTTCTAGTTTCACGTGCCAGTTATCTCCTGTTAATTACCCTCTCAAAGTTCTCCATCGCCGGGTATTGAACTCACACTCTTTGGGTACTGTCACTGGAACTAACTAACGCCTTTATCCACTGTGCCATCTGTTCTTGAGTACCTGACCCCTCCTGGTGTAAATTGTGTACATGATGCCTCAAGAAACATAGACAAGTACTTACATTTATGTGTAATTTTAAATGTTCCATTCGAATCTGGCTTGATAAATTTGATAAAATCTACTGTTTTGAAGGTATCGACAGTGAAATTTGTGAATTCATTTCGGTCGTTTTTTCTTTTTTTCTTTTTTTATTTTTTGTAAACATTCGCTGTAGAATAGCTATCAGTGTAGGTATCATTGTACAAACTGAGTCGTGCCGTTGGCGGCAGCCATTATTGGTGTTGTTTGCATACAATCGCTGCGGAAAGCTAAACACGGAAAACTACGAAAAGCTAAGCTCGGAACTGATCTTTCTTGTATCAAGTACTGCGCACGAAGACTATTTACGTAGACACGCTCAGTTTGGGCAGTGATGTCTACGCTGTTAGCTATTCTGCAGCGGACGTATGCAAAAAACGACCGTAATGGCTGTCCGAGACACGAATGAATCCGAAATTTCACTGTCAATAACTCCAAAACGGTAGATTTTATCAAGTTTATCAAGCCAGAATCGAATGGAGCATTACACATAAATGGAAGTGTTTTGGTAATTTTTAATGCGAAATGAGCGCGGGTGTTACAATGCAAATTAAATCAAATCATCCGGCAAAAAAAAAAAAAAAATGTATATTAATAGTTTTTTAAATTTAAACTTATATTATATTTTTGCTTAGTTACGCATAGCAACTAGTCTAGAAAAAGGACGTCTAGCATGAAAATGTGTTGAAAGGGAGGGTTTGTTATTAAATTCGATTTCATGGGGGAAAATTGCCTGTATTGACATTCAACGACTGTATTGGAACTCAGCTCTCCAATCTTCAATTCCGAAGCATTATCCATTACACCACCCGCACATCCAAGTTTACAGCACCTGGTATTCCCAAGCAGTCACTCATCTAAGTAATAACCAGGTTCGACGTTGCTTAAATTTGGTGATCGGGCGAGAACCGGTGATTCAACGTTATATGGCCGTAAGTCATGCACCAATGATGCCGGGGATTGTGAACGTGCAACGCCAGGGCAGAGATCTGTTTATCTGCCGAGCCACTCTGCAGCTTTCTTGAAAAGAAAGTTCATTTTTAACAGGTCTTTTTTAACAGGTCTTTTTTAACAGGTCATTTTTTAATTGGGCGAAACATCAAGAAAAATATATATATATATATATATATATATATATATATATATATATATATATATATATATATGACTATATGAGTTTTGCATGGATATGCACCGTAACTACACTTTAAACACACTGTTAGTTCATTGTACTATATCTGGCCACATTCTCGATCTAATACGTGCCAGTCTGATAATGCATTGAAAGTTCGCTGATCTCACAAATATTTCTGATAAACCTTAGACAGGTGCCAAACACATTGCTACCAATAATCGCAAAAAGTAATAGTGGCAGAATGAAAGAGAGAGAGGAAAGAGATGGAGAGAGACAGAGACAGACAGAGACAGAGAGACAGAGAGAAACAATATATATTCGTAGTGGGCTAATTTCAAACCAGCCAAAAGAAACAAAAACAAAAAAAACAAAAAAAAAACACAAAAAACACAACAACAAAAAGCAAAGCACATTCTGGTCAATGTATTTCCTAAGTTTATTTTGTTCACTTTTCTAAAATATTCCAACGTACCTTACTTACACACAGGTTTGTATTTAATTCCGACCTGATGGTGCTTACCTCACCAAACGGTGGTAAGACGCGTTGTCCATAAAAAAGCTTTTCCACTTTGCGTTATTATCCACAATTACGAATTGTTTGTGAATCAAATGGAATACTAAATATACAGGGTGCTCAGTAAACAAAAAAAAAAAGCGGTAAATTCAGCAAGATGTAAGACAACTAGTGAAAACACGTGACAACTGATATGATTGAAACTTGCAGGAAGAAAATCTACACATTTCGTCAATCCCCACATCGGATGTTCTTTGAAAAATATGGTAAAAGTACGAGAAGAACAAAACGAAATGGGAAGTTGTCTGCAAATAATTTTTAAATGACCAGCCACATGATGAGACAGCAAATAATGAATCATAAAAGAACCAATCACAGTTAAGTGATTACGCGAGAGTCGAATAATTATTCAAGGTCATGAATATTCAAGAAATTCATTCAAGCCTATTCAAGGTCAATTATTCCTGAAAGATAAAACAGTGATTATAAATTTGCCTCTTTTTTATTGGGCACCCTGTATAAGACAATTTCGAAACTTTCTGCTTCGATATATCTTAAGTACACAATCTTCATCAACGAGACAAGATGAACTTCAAGTGGTTGAGAATTTTTTTTCACTTAATTGTATAGAAATTAAATTTTTCTGCTTTCAACTTTGTTTCGAATTTAATTCATTTAATTTTAATTTATTTTATACATTTTATTTATTAAACTTTTTTGTGTCGTACATTTCTCCAATATTACTTTAGTAATAACAAACTATAAACTGAAATAAACTGATGTATATTAATGGTAGAGTATTAGTAGGACATGCCAGGTACAATCTATAATCGTCTGCCTAAGTTAGAATAATTATTTTTAAAACGGCATTTCTCAGTTCACAATGGTTGTCACAGTATTTACAATGGCTGTTCAGTGCGTTGTGGATTCTGTTTGTGAGGTCTAGTTACAGTAAATATACTAATGCCCTATAAATGCCTAGATCTGGATAATGCCGTCGACGTTTGTGCACATAGATATCAGTGATATATTCTTGCAACAAATTTCGTGGAACTTAAGCATGATGTTCTTTGCGCTAGCTTGCTGAAGCAAAACTTCACCCCCGGGTAAAAGATTCGTGAATATGGAGGTGCAAATATTCTTCAACGGTTTCTTTGTATAACACAGCGGTCAAACACTGACCTCTGAAGAGAATAACCAATAACGTATGGTAAATTAGAGTTCCTTTGTTGGCCGATAAATAACTAAAAATTTGAAAGTGTTTTTCTTTGACTGATTGATTTGTTCCCTACGGATTATCAACCCTTTTACAGGTTATCTAAAACCAGAAAAGGTTTTAGATTGTAAGAAATTTTTTAATGTAATAACGGTTTACTGATACAATTCCGACTAATTAACCCACAGCTTGAGAACAGGTGGATTCATACCTTTCCCAAGAGTATTTGCGTATAACTAAATATAACGAACATGAACAGAATTGGAACTTCTATTTCTAATTTCGAGACAAACCACACATCCAAGCTTATAGCACCTGGCATTCCCAAGTGGTCGTCACCCATCTAGGTACTGACCAGGTTCGACGTTGCTTAACTTCGGTGATCGCAGGAAAACCGGTGTTTCAACTTGATTCGAAAATGTTCGTCTGGTGAATGGAGAGATAGATCCTCCCGTACTAACTTTGATTGAACATTCTGATCTATCCTTTACAGAGGTTTAAATTCTATTGTTATTTCAGAACATTTTTGGTGGGCGACTTCACCGTAGGAATATGACAACTAAGCGTCTGATCACGGGTTTATTTATGCTACACAGCGATTGGATCCTAAGGGAACTAGATGACATACGATGATTCAATATCCGAGAAGCAATCTAAAACACCCACCCGCAAAAAAAAACCCAGAAGATTCATGGATGACAATGTATTGATTTGCAGACTCAGGAAAGAAATCTTATAAAATTTAGAAAAAGAAGTCCAAGATAGGAACTACGTAAGGAAGTACATGAAAATCAAGTAGATACAGAAATTTAAATAGCTTCCTCCTATAGTATCAGAAAATGGAAATTGTGGCAAAATCGGGCTACCCCCTCGGAACAGCGGAATATATCTTCCAGAAACTAAGCAACGCATTAAGAGATAGGAAAATTACGTTGGAAACAAAAGTAACAGTAAAGAAATAACATGTCGTTGTCGCCTTTAACTCGTATCTAAGAATGTAATTTCTTCTTTGCTGAACGTTTTCTTGAGAATGGTTGGGCTACTTCTGTCGGCAACGTCGAAGACAAGGACCCAGACTATGAGCGACCAACCCTAGAGACACTAAAGGTAGAACAAGCCCTCGATGATTACAACAGATTTCAACAATCGAACCAGCAGAGGGCTACGCATAACGGACATGCTACAGAAGGCGTCACTCGAACCTGAAATTGATTCAACGGCTGTCCGTTGCAGTTTCATAACTGAATTCTGCGTGTCTCATTCTATATGCACCACAGAGGAAGTTCATGAAATCAAGCTTATGAGTCACTTCCTGGCATGTTGAAGTCGACCTAAAAAAAATATTCACACCATCGGCGCGTTCTTCTACTCTGATTCTCTTTCACCTCCAACCAACACTTGGAAAGCCAAACGGCGATAGGGGATGGATGGCGGGAGAAGTTCAAGATGTAAACTACATTCACCGCCAACGTGCAGGTTCAATACTAGAAGCTTGCATTTTTACCAAAACCTGTTCCCGTCATCCATTCTTTTAGAACAATCGACGGCATAGACCCTTATGCAAATTAATTGAAACAACCACTTTAGTTTCCTTTCTCTCACCACACGACGAGTTTTAGACCCACTGGAATGTCAGGGTGTAATTAATTAGTATTTTTTCCTCAGATTAGGCCATTTAACATCATATGCAGTAATATGAATCTATTTTCGGGGTTTATGATGGAATTTATTTGGCCTTGAAAAATATCGCGTCATCCATTACTGCATCAGATTATTATCAGGCCTAGACATCATTGTCTCGACTGTCGATTAGTTGTCCTATAGCCATTTTCTGCGATAGACGTTACTCGAAGGAAGTGTACCAAAATTGTAATGCTGCACGAACACACTGGCAAGCCTTCTCAGTGATCAAATCAAAGTAATATAGATAGGCCAGGAAACTGATTTAAATCCAATCGGCTATCTGCGGTCAATCTGCAAGGAACGGCTTCATGGAATGGACATACGAAGTACTAACATGTGCACTGGGTCATATACCATTGAAGAAATATGAAAAAAGTAAATAATAACGAAATTATTCGTTTTGTTTTAATTAATTTGCACAAGGGTGTAGTTTTTAAGAAAATAGTCGTCATTATTAGCCGTGATGAACACCCGCTGTAAAAATAATTACTTTATTCCGTGTTAAAAGAATGCTGTTGTTCTTTGCTATCAACTAAAGCAAAAATAGAAATCGATTAGATCCTGTCACTCGAGTGGGTCTAAAACTGAATATATGGTGAAAGAATGGAAACCAAAGCGGTTGTTTCAATTAATTTGCACAAGGGTATACAATATTTCTTCTATTGGAATCGGTTTTTATTCTGTTTTCAAAAATACGTCATTACTCTCAGACGAATATGACAATATTTCTTCTTTTGGTTTGTATGTCAACTGCTTTCTCTTCAGTTCATTCTATTTCTTTCTTTCTTTTTTATCATTCTTCAGACTCTCTACCGTTCTTCCTCTTTCTTTTATTCTTGTGTGCTTAAGCCAGCACCCGACGGATGGCCTACACTGGGAAATTAATTGACAAGTCTCCCCATACACCAACACATTCTTAACATTCTACCTATTTCTTAAATAAAGACGTCTTCCCCAGGTAAATATGGCGTTTTTACTTTCTTTCTCTTTTCCGATAAAACCGGGGATTCGGGTCTTCAGTTTCTTTGTGTTTTTATGCCTTCACTTTTTCTGGGGGACTGAGAAGGAGTGAGTGTAGGTGTAGATATGGGAGTTGATCTGGGGTGATCTACAGGTGTGTGTCTTAAATAGTTTTGGCAACCTCAAACGGAATGTTTTGGGCAGAGGTGTGTATGTCATTGATTTGGGCGGAAGTAGATGAGTAAATATTTTTTAAATTGTTGGGGAAGGGAGAGCAGAGTATGAGGGGCCTTTTATCCCCAGCGGAAAGGGATACTTTTCGCGTTTAGCTGAGATTAATTGATTCAACTTAATTAGCTGCTCCTTTTTTTCAAATGATGACTCATATCTTTTTTGAATCTTCACTGAGATTGTGACCTGACTTCGCTCTTAAAACTGGTTGATAGAATGCGGCTATGTGCGCCTTTACCTTTGGTGACTGAGTTCCCGCTGTTTGGCGCTTCCATCTGGCCCTATCAACGACCAGCCATTCCCTGTTTTCCTCCTCCACAACAGCACAACCGGCGGGAAAGGCTTTTCTGGAAATGGGGGTCTCACAAGAGATCCAACCGGCGGTTTAACCGCAGTGGTCCTCGTCGCTGACATGCCCATTACAGGCGAGGTAGATTTAACAGACTCGACCAGAGAGGGATTTTGGTCGATTGGTGCCAGAAATCCAGGTGCCTTCTTTCCTGGGCAGGAAGAGTAGCGGTGACCAGTCTCATCGCACTTCCAACATTTTGGTTTTCGGTCGGACAAAATGACCGGCATTTTCTGGCCCTCTACATCCAGACAGTTGGTGTCGAGAAGAAGGCTTTGAAACCCACTATGGTTTCTAAAATCCATCTCCCGTTCAGCACGTCAGAGGAAGGACTCAGTATCTGACCATACCGGCCTAAGCTAAGTGCTCTTCTAAGAACTGAGGAGGAACCTCAAAGACCTCTACTAGGTCCTTCGCCTGCCTTTATATTACGTTCTTCGGATGAGATCTTTTGTTATAAGGTCGAGATTAGCTGCATCTACACATTCTTCGGCGTGGGTAACAGTATGTCCCACGTCAAATAACCCGTGACTTTGATTATTCTTTGCGGCTTAATCCCCAATAACGTCAGCGACTTCATGACGGTGTTTTTCCCGGAGCGACAAATTTTGCGCAAACGCTTGTAGACCATGAAGACTGACACAATTCGTTTTTCAACAATTCTTGGAGATCCACCAAAAAGCCATCTTCTTTGATAAGATGTGCGTAATCTTTAGCTTTCTCTAAAAAATAAAAAAAATGATTATAAAGTTCGATGGAGACATCCCGCATGAAGCCGATTCCTCGGCCGTAGCACTGGCACTATTCTGCTTGGCTTGTTTCTTCTTTTCTTGGTTATTTTCAGCCACCATTGGTTGGTTGTCATTATTGGTTTCATTATTTTTATTTTGGCCATTTGGACTACCATACTTTTATTTTCTGAATTTCTCTTTTGGACGTTTTTGGCTACCATACTTTTGTAGCAGCTTGATTTTTGGACTGTACTATATTTTCAGACGGGCCAATCTTCAGGGCCGCCTCAAATGGATGTTTTTTTACAACCCGACCTTTGTCGTCCACGATGGATTATTCTTGAATCAGCGGTTGTTTTTTTTTATCCAGTGAAGCACAATTTTTTGCTCTATAACCTAAAAAAGAAGGAAACAGAAAACCAACCGAAAACTATAGCCAATAAAATACAGAAACGTAAAGATTCTTTGAGAAGAAATTAATTGAAAGGCAATTACTAAAGTAAAAGATAAAAATAAAATGCCGGTATTTAACCAGTTAAAGAAATAAGTTTGACCTTAGTCAAACAACGATACGTAACATAAGAGAGAAAAAATAAAACCCAAGTTCATCTGAAGAGTTTCACCAAATAAATAAATGACAAAAACGTGTTAGGAAGAGTCTTAAATTAAAATAAATACAAAATTCGAAATAAATAAATTCGAAAACTAAAAAAACATAAACGCTGACAGGAAAAATTAAAAGAAAAATAAACAGAAAAAAAAAGTGAAAGGAAGTTCACGAAAAAAAAAGGCTTGCCCTTCGAAAACTTTTTAACAACAAAAAAAAAAGAATCAAAAAAGGACTAAATAAAATAAAACAAGAAATTTAAATAAAAAAAATAGTATGCAGTATCTAAATGTTACACCAAAAGAAAAAGAGAAAATTCAGCTGAAAAGGGGGGGGGGAGATAAAAATAAGAATTGAAAAAGAAAGGAGAAATTCACGAAATCAGAACAATGTAATAAAAGTCAAAACTTAACCAAAACAAATAATTATAATAAAGTCAATAACTTAACAAAAAATTCTTCAGCAAGCTTTTGCCTAATCTAAACATAGTGTCAACCAATAGCGGTCAAATAACGACCTGTTACTGGTCAATGCAAAAGGTGAACTGCCCTAATAAAAAGATACCATGGTGCTGAGCTTCAAAACCATGACAGATAGCGATATTTAATTGTATAAAAATAGAAAATGTGGCACAAGGTCAAAAATAGGAAATGGGGAAAAAGGTTGGTTTCCTGTCTTATATTTCAACGTAGCTAGCCACAATCACTGACTCAAAACATACAATATTCCTTACGCCAAAATAACGCATTCTTATCTTTCTTACTACATTCACCATAATATGTCTCTATGGAAGTCCTAACTAGTTACCATATGTGGAATTCTATTCCGCAGCGGAAGGGGAATAT